TTTTTTCTATCATAATAATGGATTTTGTGCCTAATTTGGCTAGCTTTCCTTATTTTTTCAGAAAATATCAACCCCAAGAGTTGGTGCCTTCAAAACAAATATATATTGTGGCCCAAGACCCAACCAGTGTCTCAACCGAAAACAAATATTCATTGTAATCCAAGTCTCAAGGTGTCTCAACTAAGTAGAGATTTTAAATTTGAACTCTTAAGTTCAAAGTCTTTGAGATGGATGAAGAGAGATTTGTGAAAGGGGAGGGCTATTTCTGTATTGTATAATTTATCATTACATTTACCAAAAGTATACATTGTCATCCAAAGAATTAGTATCCTCAACAAAAAAATTGAAACCAAAGAAACATAAATACATGTGTCCGATCACCGTGTCAAATTAAGGCAGGCTGTCGTCAGGCTCCTTTCCATAATCCATGTTAGTAATGTTCTGAAGATCTTCCATGCTGTCCCATGTGTCAACATGGTTGATCAATTCAGAACTTTCGTGGAATGCCCAATCTGCTCCATAAGCGAAGTCCATGTCGTCAACCCCCGAAGGAAGTTGGACTTCTAACGCTGGCAACTGCTGCATAAAGCTGTTTAAAGCTGCATCTGCAGCAGAAGACGCAGGCAAGTCTGGCGCTGAAGTGCTTATGGGAGCAGGAGCCTCTGGATCAGGCAGGGGAACGGAATTATTTTCCCCTACAGGAGCACCAACAGCAGAGTCTACCTCCATAGTTGGCAAAGGCAAAGCAGGATGGTCATTCTTAGGGGGAACCTGCAAATCTGACTCCTGTTGTGTTGGAGCCAAATTGTTGTCAAGCAATGGAGAAGTCAAAAATCGTGGAATAGAATTGTTTTCCCTTGCAACAGTTGAAACAAGGGAATCCAATTCCGTCTCTTGTGGAGGCTGATCAGCGTCATCATTTACTATTGCAGCAGGAGCGTCTGTAATAGGTAAAGAAACAGAATTGTCAACCCCATTTGATGAGCAGAACCCTAGATCCTCTATGGTTCCCTCGCTGCTCAAATCATTTGGGGTTTCCTCCAAAGAATTCTGTTTCTGTCTCTTAAATTCCTCCTGTGCATTGTTGTCATTGCCACCAGCCTCACCGTCTGCATTCCTAAACTTTCTCTTTAACACTCCACGAGGTTGTTGAAGAGATGGAGAAAGTTGTGGAGTGCTATTCTCCATTTCCCTATGTTGCTCCAGAGCATTATGTTCAGGCTCTGGTTTTGCAACATTAATTTGGGAATCTTCCATCTCAACCTCACATGGAATAGTGTTAAGATCTAAGTTTAGGTTCGCCCTATCATTGTCCCCATTGTTGACTTGCAACTCCTGAAAAAATTGTAAAAAACTAATTAGCAATCTATTGTTTTGTTTTCTTTTTCTTATCCATGTTTCTAGCAAAACGGAAAAAGATCATTTATTTTCTTAATTCATCAAGAAGAAAAAATAAGTCATTGCTATTTACCTGATTGATATGAACATTTTGTTCCCTAGCAGAGCTCTGCCTTCTATTGGGGTATTCCTCCCTCAAGATGAATCTTGCAATCTCCAAAACTGATCGGAAAAACCCACCCGACAGCTCATGGCGATAATACTGCACAGAGTACATGATCATATATTTCAAATTAAATCACCCAAATGTTTCGCAAAAATGAAAAACTAAATCAAATGTTAACTAACTATAAACATAAAAATTACTCAATTTACCGAATCATATCTTGAAGTAACCCGTTGCTTGCGCTCCACACGCCATCCACTCAGTCGATCAGACAAAGTATATTGATATGTTCCGTTCCAATTCTGCAATAATAATAATAATAATAAACTAATGTGACCATCTATACAGTCAAATGAGTAAAAAACTTTAAAAAAAAAAAAAAAGGTACTTACAGATACAAATTCATTGATAGACCGCATTATTGGGTCAGGGAGATCAGTGAAAGAAATATGTTCAATTCCAACCAACTCGGCCTTCGTCCTTTGTTTCTTCTGTGTCTTATCTGTTTCTTTTTCTCCTTCCTGATTCGATTCATTTAACTAAATTAAAAACCATACATGAAGAGAAAATTGTGACATGAATTATCTAAGAAAATTATGTATATCATGCATAAATGTTCATTTAGATTTAATATATATTGTTTTCTACCTGTTGGTCAGGACTCAACGCATGATGGCCTTGGTCCTCCGGTGTTACCGTGGTAATCGGTGTAGGATTTAGCACCTGCTTATTTTTGCCCATCAATTTTGCAATTACTTGCTGAAATGCACGAGAATTTATCAAAAATGTTAGAGAAAATTGCAAAAACAGTACTCTGTGCATGTGTAGGCGTGTGAACTAGAAAGTGTTGAGAAAGACATTTACCTTCACTATGGGTTTTAGTTCACTTGTTAGTAAGTCATCCAATAATTCTTTGTTTCCGGAAGTACTAGGCACTGTTGTATGACTTGGCATATTTGACGTTGATGGACCAGGTGCTGGCATCTCAGACGTCCTTGGTCTTGATCTTGAACTTTCAGGCAAATTGGATGTTGAAGGTCCTGAGCTTGAAGGACCAGCAGGTGTGTTTGCTGTGGTTGTGTTTGGTCTGAAAGTGCCATTCATGTTCCCATGCCCAAATCCCAAGTGATCCTGTTCAAACCAGATTGAAAACTTCGTTACAACCAAAGATAAATAAATTTCAAGTGGGTTCAAGTATTAGGAGAAAATAAAAAAAGAGAGACAAATATAGGAAAAGAAAATATATAGATGTACATAGCCTAAGAGGCACATGAAAATGGCACATTAAGTGCTGTATTTGTAAAAATTGTTTTTAGGTTCTAATTAATTTTTTTTTTTTAATTCTAGAGATTTTCGAGGTTTGACGTTTGATTGCTGAAATTACCTTACCAAATCTCATGCTAGATTTTCCTGCCTTTTTAGATTCAATGTTACCATATGTTGCTCATTTGCTTTCATAATTGGACAATTTATGTGTAAAAGATTAGATGGTTGTCTCTAGACATGTTCCAAATCTACCATGTTATAATAATTGTTTAAACTTTTTTAAACATTAAAATTATTCGTCATATTTTATCAATTCCTATTATCTAATTTGAAAAAATAAATTAGAGTTTGCAGAAGAGAATCCTATTAATCATTTTTAATAAATTAATAGCAACCTCAAAACTTAAAGAAAATCATCAATGTATAGACTATTTTAATAAGTACTCCTCGATTAAAAAGAAATGAAAGACAATGTACCATAGCTCATATATAGAAAATAGGAAAATTGTTTATAGTAATAATAACGATTAATGGTAGGTAATCTTATTTTTTAAAATATAAATTAATTAGAGTGGTGAATGATTAACGATCAACGATAAACTACTAACTATATACGTTTAATTAGAATACAAATTATCATATAAAAATTAACGACTAACGGTAAACAACCAACGATAAATAATAAAATTTTGATATATGAATCATGATATACGTACTCAAGTATTTTCATTTTCATTTTCATTTTCATTACATTCAAGTTATGATAGTTTTTATCTGCAAAGCATATATTTACCACAAAATTTTCTTTTTTAATTTCAAATTTCAAATCTCCCTATTATTCACCTTTCACATCTTGAACATAATTTTTATTTGATGGACACATAAACACATGCCTTTTCTTTCATATCTAATCCATTAATCTACAGCTATCTTGACCCAACAAGAAAAAAGCAATCAATTTCAGGCAAACTTGAAACATTTTCAAGTACAAAATGAACATAGATTACCTGATCATTTCCTAACATCGTATCTCTTGCAGTTGCAGAAGTTGTCGGATTGACACCTCTTTGTGGCCCTTGGAAAAATTCAGAAAATGGTTGTTGTTGTGGCTACAAGAACCAATTAAATCTAATGTCAAATATATATATATATATATATATATGTATAATTTGCTATATAAAAGACTCTCATTTAAGAACCTAAAGATGATTTGAAAGGTAATTAATGTACTAAGTTACATAAAAAATAAAAAATTAGATTTCAAAATTATATTAAAAAATTATTCAACATAATGAAAAATTTGTTACAAATGATTAACAATAATAAAAAATGAATTATGATTTATAGTAAATCAAGTTATTCTTCCTTTTCATTTTTGTTATATTAAAACTATTAGATTTCATTCGCAAAGCATATACATTTAGCATAGATTTTTCATCCCTTTCAAATTTTAAATCGTACCAATTCATCATTCTATTGTACACTAAATTCTCATTCGATTAGCATATTATATATATTTACATCATATTGTATATTTATGTTTTTTTTATTTTTTTTTTTCAATTCTATTACATTCGACCTTTACCAAACAACAATAAAAAGTAGTGTCATACCTCATTATTTCCAAACATCGTATCTCTTGCACTTGTAGAAGATGATGAAGCGACGTTTTGCTGTGGCCTTTGAAAAAAGTTATGCCTTTGTCGGTACTGTGGCTGCAACAATGTAAACAAAATATAAAACAATAATTATAGAGGGAAAATCAAATCGCAAAAAGAAAACAAATGTTTCAATTGAGAGCTTTTAGTTCAAGAAGGATGAAAATACCCCATAAAAGAGAATGTAAGGGTCCTGAAAAAAAAAAAAATAATAAAAGTTAGAAGTTTTTTTTAAGTAATTAAGAGCTAGATCCATGTATGAGTACTAAGTATAAAAGAGATCTAAACCTCAAAACCATATCTTACCTCCTCTGCAAATGCACCATAGGAAGTGGATGGAACTGAACCATTTCTAGGGTGGGAGTAGTGCCACTGTTGGTTAGGCATCGGCCCTGACCTCCCCTGATTTTGTTGAGATCTATGGTACTCATCACTTCGTGGCACATGAGAGCTCTCACCAGGATACCATTGGTGTCCTGATGAGGCCTGATCTGACTGCCTTTCATAACCAGCAACCGTCACAGATGTCCATGACGGATGTGGCTGTTGCAAATCAGCTGACAATGGTGACAAACCCCATTGTTGGGGACTTGGCGTTTGCTGCCATTGCCAGTAGTTTTCAACCACTCGGGTTGGCTGTTCTGACACCTTCGGTATGTATACAGAGGTTTTGTTATCCTCATCTAATTCAGTGATGATCACAACCATTTTGTCTTAAACCTAGCTAGGCTAGCTCTCAAAATGCTTAGTGTTTTTTTCTCCCTTTTTTTTGGGGTTTTGTTTTTGTGTGTAGGAAGAGATGGGTGAGCTATTATATATAGGAGTTAGAAGTGGAGAGCCTTGTAACATGCAAGAAACTTTGATTCCTTGTGGGCCCAATTTGACTAGGCAGCTGTTTGTAAAAATTGTCAACGTTTGTTCTTATCTTGTAATTTAGGTGGAAAAAAAAAATTACAGCGGGAGAATTCATGACTATAATCTGGAATTGTTTTTTAAAATTATGAAATTAAGCCATTTTTAGCAGTGTAATAAATTCTGAAAAAAATCTTAAAAGGTAACTCTATTAAATAAAATGGGGTTGGTTGGAAAAAAAAAATCAAAGTTAGGAAAAATATATGTAATAATGAAATTAATTTAGTTTTTTTTATTAGGTGCCAGGTCTAAATACATGTCTCTTAGATTTTTCAATGGATTTTATTCCACTTTTGCTGTTGTTACCTTACTTGGACACCCCATTTGAATGACATATTTTGAAAGAGGCAAAACCCTTAAATCCATCCCTCAAATAAATTAGTAGAGACAGATCTATCTTTTAAAAAAAATGTAAGGATAAATTGCTCCTCTAAATTATAAATCAAGACAAATTACTCATTTTTTAACGTTTTATGTTAAAGGATGTTGATGTGGCAAACAAAATTTTGACGTTTTTCATTAAAAAATGAGTGATTTGTCTTGATTTATAATTTGGATGAACAATTTATTTCTATATTGTTGTTCAAAAAAAAAAATTTGTCCTTGTATTTTTTTAAAGGATGGATATGTCCCTACCAATATATTTATGGGGTAGATTTGGGGGTTTTGCCTTTTGAAAGGCAGGGACACAAATTGTAAATATCAAATAGGACATTACCCCCTCCCCCCAAAGTGGTAATTAGATATTTTGAAAAGCTAAAATTAGATTTTTTTTATTGAGAATTTTGATATTTTTCAACAATATATATATTTTTATTATTATTCAATTGTATATTATTAATTGTTTGATAATATAATGAACAAAATTTTAATTATAGAAGTCTCTACAAAGTTTTCAGAGCAATCCCATTCTATTATATGGGCAAAAATTCTTTCTAGATAACAATTAAGAACATTTCTCAACACTCATGGTTTGATGACTACAGCCGCAACTTAATCATACTTTATGTGTAATATACAAAAGAATATAGAGGAGCTTCATTGGATATGGTCATTTAACTTTAATTTAATTAGTTAGAAGGATTGATCCGGGTATAGGAAACAAATGTGTGCACAAGCAAAAAGGGTTGAGAGTGTGATATATCTTAGTGGGTGCAGATTATTTTCCTATGTATTTATGGTCATTTCAATGAAGTACACATAAAAGTTAACCATGCTTCATGTGTCAAGTGTATAAATTGATACATGATTTTATTGAATGGAATGATTTAACTTCAACTTAGTTATAAAAGCTAATCTTGATATAAATGAGCCAATGTAGTAAGCAAATGCAAGGAAAAAAAGACTAATAAAGAACATGATTGGATTTATTTAAAGCAATGATTGAACTATAACTTAATTACAAAGGATTGATATACTGATACACTGGAGCTTCATTGGATGCAGCGATTTACTTTCAATTTGGTTAGAAGGATTGATCCGGAGATAAAAGACAAATGTAACAAGAAAAAAGGGGCTGAGAACAAGACTGAAATGTAATATTATAATTCTCATGTCAATAAAGTACACATATTAGTTAACCAAGCTTCATGTGTCAAGTACATAAAGTGATATACATTACTAGAAAACACAGTATAACCTATAGCAGTATATTTAACAACCAAAAAAACTATCAATTATACATTTATATTCGATAGGGTGGTTGTCAGTTATATAGATTTGATGATTAAATAGCCTTCCTCTCTTTATTTTCTACAAAATTTATAACTAACAAATTAACCGTTGATTATAGTTTAGTGCCAAGTTGGTTAAACTATAACCGATAACGGACAAAAATAAGTTATTGGTTATATTTATTCATTGTTTACTACTATAACCGATAACAACAAATTGATTAAGTAATAAATTAATAATAACCATAACTGATAACTTATGTCGATTTTGCTTAATTAATTAAGTAATAAATTAATAATAACTATAACTGATAACCTATTGTTGTTCGTTATAGTAGTAAATTATTAATAAATATAACCAATAACATATTTATGTGCATTACACGGATGCTAGTATAACTTCTACTCTTACCCTATATTACATTCACCTTGTTAAAGTATAATAAGTTCTTGGTGGAATGGTGTTGAGTGTGAGGTTTCCCTTGTGAGTTGAGAGAGAATGATGTGAGGAAAATTGTCACACATTGAAGGAAAACAAAGAACCTAAGTGGCTTAAAAAGGTAGAAACCCAAATAAATGCTTAAACTCAAGAGTCTAAAGGGCCTCTCCCTGGGTTTCAAGATGGTGTTTACACTATTGGTCCATTTTTTCCACCAAAGCCCAATGATTTTGTTATACTTAAACTTAGGGGTGTTCGCGCGGTGTGGTTTAGTTCGGATTTTAATATTTTTTAAACCAATCCAATTTAATCGGTTAATAAAATTTTTAAACCAATCCAATCCACTATTATATGATAACCAAACTAATCCAACTTAAATCGGATTAGTGTGGTTTAGTTGGATTAATCAGTTTTTAACACTATTAAATATATGAGATAATATAAAAAATTTTAACATTAAATAGAAAATATAACTATAAAATACATTAACATCCAAATTACTAGAAATATAATAAAATAAACAAATTATAAATAAATTCTTATACTCATTTATAGTTATAAAAATTGAAAAGATTTGGGAATTCTTCTTGACAACATCACTAGAGGTATCAAGAATAATAAAAAATAACTTTAAATTTTAAATACAATACAGGTAATTCTTAAAGGTTAAAACTAATTTTTTTTCCTTAATGCAGCAAATGATTCAATCCCATTTTCTAAACCTTGTTAAAAGCAATTAAAATTTAACATAAATGTCATTAGGAATGATTAGAAGCATTCATAATTAAATTTAAAACTTCTTAACCAAATATCCAAAAATAGTAGAATATCAAATTTAGTTCTATTATATAATTTTAAGATTTTTAGAATGATATTTCTTAAAATTTAATTAAGAGAATCAAAAAAGTATTTTAAGAACAAATTAAAAATTTATAGTTCTCAAAATAGAATCATAGACTAGTTATAAGAAATAGAATTACAAGTGAATTGAAAATTTAGAATTAGAATTAGCATGCACGATTTAGAAAAGAAAATAAATTAAAGAATATAGGGATATTTGATTTTTTTTTTTAAATTAAGTTAACAAAGTTATCATCTTATAAAATAAGAAAAAAATTTAAAATATTACAAAAAAATTACATTATTTAATTAAATTATTGTGTAATCGGATTTTATTTTGTAATTGAGCGATTCGAATAGTTTGAAAGTAAAATTACAAACCAAAACAATTATATTGGTTTAAAAATTTTATAATCCAAACCAACCCAATTTTATATCGGTTTGGTTTAATTTTTTATTGGATTTGATTAGTTTAGGTCAGATTAATCGGATTGCATTGGATATGAACACCCCTACTTAAACTCTCGTTGGTTGATTCTCCCCAAAATGGAGGACGTCACCCCTTAAACTTTTAAAAAGTTTGAACTTTAGTACAAATAAAAATATTTTTTCTTAACATTTTTAAATATTACAATTGTCATGTAAAATTTAAAGATATTATCATTTAATTATTTATAAATTTTAAATTTATTTATTTATATTTCACCCCTCAATATTATTAAAATTTATGATATTCTCATTAAAAAAAATTCTGAATATGGAGAAAACATTAGAATCTAGTAATAATTTTGCAAAAAAATCTTCTTAGCCAATTGTATGGTGCAACGTTTTTTAATTACTTTAAGATTCAACTTTCTAATTTTTTTTCATTTAGTTCTAAAAATAGTTTCATTAAATGAAAACTTTGGTTGTACTTTTATACTTAAGGTTTCTTGAATTTGTTATTATATATGTTTCTTCAAGCATGATACAAGCACGTGATATTTGTTTATTTGTTGATAAGAAGGTTTAAGTGGTTATTTAGTCAATAATTTTAATTGAAAGTACTAAATTACATGTTTCTTATTTACTATTTACTCTTTTTTCTCAAAATATTGTCTTTTTTAATTAAATTTAATAGACAAATCAACAAAAAATGACATAAGTATATTTTAAGATAGGGAGGGTATGCTTTTGAAATTATTTGAATAAGTTGATTTATTATTTAAGTATATATATATTATCAAAGTGAGGTATTATTCTTATTTTAATAGAATGATTCATTTATTAAAAAAATGGTAGAGATATACTATTTTGTTAATTTTCTTTTCATGTTTCAAAGTGAAAAAATAAAGTAGGGATAAAAAAATGTGAAGAATGATAATCTGTTGCATAATTCTATGCACTTGGAGCTTTTATAGTCTTGGTGTTCAATAATAATTAAGAGATACCCTTGATGCAAAATTAATTGGGTAAACTACACAAATAGTCATTCACCTTTATCACAACTTTTAATTTAGTCATTATCCTTCTAAATTTGAAAAGTTAATCACTAATCTTTCTTTTAACATGCTGCCATTCATCACCCTCTGCTATATCTTACAAAGGGTGGTATTATAGGGATAATTTTTTTGTCCCACCTTTGTATACAACTTCCACATATTATTAAATAAGTGAATGCATTTAACATCATGAGTTCCATATGAATTAAAATAATCAATCATTTTGATGATACTTAGGTTGTACAAAAAAGTTGTACAAAAATTATTTCACCTCTTGCAAGTTCTATTAAGTGATGACATGGGTGATGATGTGTTGTGATGATGTGACCATTAGTGAAATAAAATTACAATTTTACTACAAAAAATCATTAGATGGCAAAAAAGTTTTAACTACTAACACTGAATGATCCTTACATTCTTAAAAACTAACAAATAAATCAATTT